CAAAATTTGACACTTTGACAACAGCTTGACAACAAATAAATTTTATTTCCAAATTCTTCACAACGACATACATTATTTAGGATAAATATTAACAGTTATATGAAAATAAAATGTATAAAATTTTAGTTTATGAAGTTTTGGAGCACTGTTTATTTTGAAATAATTGAAATGTCAAACGAGTCATTTGAAACCGAGATTCAAACGGCCCGCTAAATATTAGTTCAATGACTACACCGTCGGAAATGTCACTGGGCGACTACAACAGAAGTGCGCGTTCTATATCAAGAATATAAATCACTTTTCTATGTTTTGAAATTGTGTTGTTGTAAACCATGGTCCCCATACGCGCGTTAAAGTGAAAATTCAAAAAGTTTTGGTTGAAAAAAACCCTAATTTTTGTTCGTATTTTTTTGTATTTACTCGTTTGTTTCGTTTCGTTTGTACCTATTTGTATTTATTATTCGTATTTACTTTGCGATCTACCTATAGCTGTGTGTCTCTTGCTAACTTAATAACTCTTTTTGCACTATGTTCAACATCGGAAACTTCCTGCCAGTCATAGTTTAAAAAAAAAATGAGGCGAAAAGAGCTTAAAGGAGTCAGCAAGCCAAATGCAGTTGAACATTAAAAATTATTTAAAAATAATAAAAATATATGAAAAAAATCAATTCGCCTTTTTGTCAAGAATGCTCGATTAGTTGGGTTTTCATTCAACGATGGCGCTGTAATTCATAACCGGTATAAAACATTGCAGATACTTTTCTAGAGGTGATATTATGTTCTGTGCTGACAATAAGACAATCATTTCAAGTACAGTCAATAAAAAGAACAATGAGAAATAATAAAAATAATAATAATCAACAATGTAAAAAATGGTCAGTAGAAAATACAACACAATATAAAAACAACAATATATAGCCAGTTGACTATTGAGATTAAATATCACACTAAATTAGGATTGCTCAAAGAACTCGTCAATGGTATAAAATGCCTTTTTCAATAAGTATGCCTTTAGTAGGTTCCGGAAAGCCTTTGGTGTTGAAGCATTCCTAATCCGCAAACCAACATTATTGTATATTTTGAGGCCATTGTAGATGAGAGATCTCTTAACCAGGTTCAAGTGAAATATTGGTAAAGGGATATTATTGTTTTGACGGGTTTGATGTAGTTGCTGATGCCTTGGAAGGCTTTGCTTATTTTTATAAACTAAGCATGCTGTTTCCAGGATGAAAAGGGAGGGTAGAGTTAGAATGCCATTTTGGATGAAGAGATGTCTACAGTGTGTTCTTGGATGGGCATTGCATAAATTCCGAACTGCTCGCTTTCGGAGAATAAAGACAGACTGAAAAAGATTTTGTGCACAGGCTCCCCAAAAGGGTAATGCATATCTAATATGTGACTCGACAAGAGCAAAATAAACATTCCGTGCTACTTTTTTACCCAGTTCTTGGAAGGTAGTGTTGCGTTGCACGCTGATTGGCTGATTTTTGGTGGGCGGAGCTTGTGAAAGGTATCGACCAAAACTATAAAGGAAGCCCGTTTTCGACGTTTGAGTCAGTCTTAGTCTTATTCAGGTAGTGAGCGAGTCATCAAGTCCCCTACTTGCCCCGCTCTCCGCCCCGGAGACAAGAAGAGCTCTCGCAATCTTTTTCTCGACAAAGGCACTGTGACATGTACCCGGTGTCTAGGAGCGCGTAGTAGGCTGGTAACACATCGGCGAGGGTCCCCTTTCCTTGGGATCAATTTATTTGGCCGGAAGACGAACCCCCCTTTGTGTTATTGGTGCGATCTGCCTACGGGCACGAAGAGAGCCAACGACAATCCCCTCGGGCGTGTTTAAAGCTTCCGGAAGCTCAGTTCGCAGGCAGGAAACCTGCATCGGACCTCGCACTGGAGGCTGATGTCCTCTCCCTCCACTTAAAATTGCCAACAATACCCGGCGAAGTCTTTTTCAAGATAAGGGCCAGGAAGTAAAAGAAAATTCGTTTGAAATTCTGATGGTTCGTAACCGAGCCCGCGCTTCTAATTCGGCACAATCGTGCAGCAATCCGTCTAGGAAATCCTAGATTCCTCCTCCGCGTAATTGTCACCACTGTTTTATGGACACCTTTTTCAAAGGCCTCCATCCCCCCGTGTCCGTCCTCGACGATTTCTCTTTGGAAGCTACACTCCGAATTAAAGCTATGAAAGCAAACATTCTCTTTGACACACAAATGGCTAGCCAAGTTAGAACAGAGTTTTTGAAAAAGACAAGAAGCCGAAACTAACTCTAGCTTGATTTTTTACTTGGAATTTTTTAAAGGAAAAAACCCAATTTCAAATAAAACACACGGAAGCTTGAGAGCTTGCCAAGTTGAGACAGAGTTTTCAAATAAGACACGAAGTCGAGACTAACCGCAGCTTGATTTTTTCAAGGAATTTTTTAGAGAAAAATCTCCTAACACATAAAACATTTGACAGACAAAACTCGACACAAAACATACGAATCTATATGATATTGTCACGGCTTTGGATTGCCTGACAGAAATCTTGGGTTCGTTGTTCGTTTCGTTTATTTCAAAAATCAAAGTCCAATTAACACAGCAATAATTTATTCCACTTAACAATACACTCTGACACTAATTATTTTATTAAAAAACTCAACAATTAAACTCTTTACAATCACTATTTAAATCGTATCACAGTCGAACTGAAACTTTAAACTACAAAGCAATAGCGGCCTTTTATATATCCCTAAATCTATTCCTGTAAAATCTAGAACACACAAGATAATCTTATTTTCTCGATTATAGTAGAATAATTCGCTAGATTCTTGACAGCCTGGCGGAGGCCGTTTTTCTGGCCTGGCGTTAACGATATCGTAACAATATGTTTTATCAAAGCAACCTTCACCCCATATTTATTCACTAATGAGGTCAGATGACCATGACTTTCAACTGAGTCGACTCTCCCTATCAAATCTAAATCTATACAAGTTTTCAAAACTAAAATTCCTTTTACTCCCCGACCCGACATAAAAAAAGAAACATTCGATTTTATATTATTTACAAGACATTCTAGGACACATCTTCCAATTATTGGCAAAGTGTTATCAGTATAGGAGATTGAAATATTAATTGTTTTTTCTAAACTCTGCATATCATACCCTATTTTATTTAAAGTTTCCACAGACTCACAGACAAGATGTTGGCCATTGCTCCATTGTCAAGTGTGAATTCAACGAGCTCTGTCCATTGATATTTCCTGATGTTGTCCATGAGCCCCCATGTATCTCGCTGACCTGGCTGTTGATGCTACCTATAAACAAAAAATCTTCAGCGTTGCTATCCTTTTGAAAATTATTTGAATGAATTTGTGACAAACTATTTTCTCCAACCTTGATATTTTCATCACTCTCTGATTTGTAGCCTGACATAGCCTCACATTGACATTTTCATTTTTTCACAATATTTATGTTTTTAAAGGCAAATTTATTTTGCTGTGGACAAATTTTATTTTTATAATCATTATATTTTCTAAAATTATCTGACCTTTGATTCTTATAATAGTTATAATCTTCAAAATTTGAGTTTTTATGATAAAAATCAGTCTCAAAACCTACTTGATTATCAAAACCGCCGAACAAAGAAATGCAGAATGGTTGGGACCACCACCAGCACTACACTGCTTCCCATAGGCTCGACACTGACCATAACCATGCCTTGACCCACACTTTCTGCTATTCTGAGGTTGGGTTGTCCTGTTGTTTGGACGAATAGCATCTACTGTGACGTGTCCATTTCCATTGGCGATTTCCTTGGCGTGCTTCCTGCATTTTTTAGCATTCAAAGTGGACTGGACAACTTGTTCTAGTGTTTTCTCATCTGCGACTTCCAATAGCCTCTTCCGAGCCTCTGCCGACCTTACACCACATATGAAGACATTCTTTATTAATCTGTCTTTCAAGGTATGCAATTCATACTGCAAGGCTAATTTTTTCAGGTCAGTCACATAGCTATCTATACTTTGACCGGTTTTTTGTCTGTGGCTCAAAAATTTGTGTGTTAGATATCAATCAATCAATCACAAATTGTATTATCAAAGATACAATCTTAATGACAAAGCTAAACTTAAACCTATTATCAACGAAAAACCTTAGAACTAGTTACATGAAAGGTCAATAAAAAATAAAATAAAAATACAATGCGCACACTCGAAAAACAAACAGTTTAAAATATACAGAGACGTAAAGTAAGCCTCGAATTCTAGCTACGAATTAGGAAAGTATACCACTGCATCAAAACGATATAAAAATCAATAAAATCAAGAAATTGACTAGAAAAAAAACTTTTTATTCACAAAGCATATAACCTAAATATTCATAATTAAAAATATCTATGAAAATACAATTTAAAATTTTTGCTGCGATAAAAATATGCTCACAAGCTGTCCTCAAAGAATTCTTCAACTTTGTAGTATGCCCTAGTCAAGAGCAACTCCCTTACCTCCTTTCTAAACCTTCTGTACGAACGTAAAGACCTAACGCTCAATGGTAGAAAATTGAAGGCTTTCTTAGCAAAATAAACAAAAGACTTCTTCACCAAGGTGCTTCTCGGAATTGGCAGTGGAATATTATAAGCTTGCCTAGTGGAATAGTGCCTCACTGAAGAAAGTTGAGCATAGTATTTCCTATAGACCAGACTTTCGAGTATATACGTTAAATTATTTTTTTTTTTTGTAGAAAATGGTAATCAAACTTTTTGATGAGTATGTCTAATTTGTCTTTTTCATCAGGCTTAAACGTGAAGGTGTTGAAAATTCTAATGCCTTCCTCGCCAATCAAGGTTAATAATTGAGCACATTGTGCCACCTGCTCTTTTTTGATGATCTCGGTGGCCTGCTTCCAGAACATCCAGTTTTCGGAGACAGTTTCGGACGGGGGTACGCCTCGAAAGTAAAACGATGAGGAAGTTGATTTTGGATACTTGGGATTTTAAAACCTTTATACTGACCGCACCATGATGGGGTGTTCAGGTGGTGAGGAGAGAGAGGAGGAGAAAGGATGGTCTTCAAGTAATAGCTGTGAGAAGACTGTCGTTTACCAGAGATGTCGTTTACCTATTCAGGACGTAGAACTATGCGTCATAATGACGTGTATCATAATAGGGTGCATTCACAATTGCGCACCTTCACACATTCACTAAAATACCATATTTTAATAGGGTGTCCTAGAATACTACCTCAAATTGGTTTGAGATTCAGTAGGGGATGGATGTAAGCAAATATCAAAAGACTCAATAAGAACAAGGTTTTTATACTTTCTCTCGAGATTTTGTGAAGGCTACAACTACTGTTTCTTAGCAGGGACTCATTCTAGAATACTGCCTCAAATTTGTTTTGAAATCGATAGGGGATGTAGGGTTGAACATTTCAACAAACTCAATAAAAAATGAGCTTTTCGTGGTTTTTTCTTCCAGATTTTAGGTGAAATACTACAATCAGGGCTTTAGGAAAGTGTTCCATATAATAGATATATCGAGGGATATATAGAACAATCCCTGAAGTTGGTTTAGAAATCGGTAGGTGATGCAGAGCTGAAATATCAAAAACGTAATAAAAATAAGGTGTTTATCCGTTTGCTTCAGATTTTGATGCGGTACCACTACCATATTTTAAAAGGGACTGAAAAGGGTGTTCTAGAATACTAGAATACACCCAATATATTATTACATTTTCAGATTCTACGCCAAATTCTAGACACATTTCCCCAATAATTTCCTAAACCTTTACCTTCAACTGTTTTTAACTTCAACATAATAGTTGTATTCCTTTTACGGGGGCGTTATGCGCTTATTCCTCTCGAAAAGTGTTTATTGCACCTGAGTGCTCAAACCCGATTCAAACCATTCAATTGCACGAAAGCCAGCGCATTTTTTCCTTCCAAATCGAGGTCGACTAACACCGGAGTGAGTAGCTCTAGTGCTTTAAACTCTTAAAAGGAATACAATTATTAACATTTTTGAAGTTTGCTTTGAATTAGCAGATATTTCTCAAAAACAGTCCTTCATCCCCGCACTTTTTTGGTCAAAAATAAATAAAGTTAATTTGTTTATCCTTGTCTTTTTCAGCCAAGCACTGACAACAACACGTACCCTCAATTTAAAGCTCGTGAAGCAACTGTTCTCAAGAAAAAGCCATTTATTCCAAGCCTACCCGATAAACGTGTGGAACGAGAAGAGTTTGACAGAAAAATGAAGTTGCGTGAAGCAGAACTGGAACAGCAAAGGCAACACATCAAGGAGATGCAAGCTGAGAAAGAGCAAAAAGAAAGGGCGAAATGCAGAAAACTGGCGTTGAGTAAGAAAGTGACTGATCCAGTAACTCCGCTTCTGCATCAGAAAAAGTCTGGGAAGGGTGGATAAATAAAATAATTCGAGTTTTCACCTATTTAGATCTTTTAATTTGTTTGTTTTGTATTAATAAAAAATGTATTGTATTTTATAGTGTTAGAATCAAAATTATATTTGAATTTAAAATAATAATTATTATAAAATATTTTTCGAAGGAATTAAATTATTGTGATGATAATTCAACCGGACTATTATTTATCTTGGTGAAACATGAAATGATGCAGGTAAATAAAGTAAAGGGTCGAATGTTGCATATGTGTAAAGTCTCTATTCACACGTAATATAAAGGTCATAATTAGGTTTGTTAGCGCACATGCGCAGATTTGAAAGATTGTAGACTACGGCAGAAAAGGCAACAAAAGCCCTCTCTTCTGCTACGGCCACGCTAGGGAAAAGACCTATCATGGAACGGAACTCTTGTACTTAAATCCGGAAATTAAATAAAGCCTTTGAACACGTTCGGTAATCTTTTATTCAAAAGTTAAGTCATTACATTTGGCGACGAGGAAAAGTTGGAAAAACGCGAGTGATTTTGGCTTTAAAAAAAAAAAAAAAAAAATTAAAATTCTATTTCGGGTACGGCACGGTTAAACGAAGATGGCGACGGGCACCATTCCAAAGTTCTACGAATTCAATTCAAACGTGGACGAATGGGAAATTTACATCGAGAGGCTTCAGCAACATTTTATTGTCAACCAGGTAACTAATGAAAAAATCAAAGTTGCCGTTTTGCTAAGTTCCATCAGCCAAGCCACTTACAAATTACTAAAAAACTTAACATACCCCAACGCTCCGGATGCAAAAAATTTTGAGGAATTATGCAGATTGCTCAAAACCCAGTACTCAGTGCAAAAAAGTACCTGGCGAGAACGCATTAGATTTTACCAGATGACCCAAGGAAATTCAAGCATTGCCGACTGGCACGCCGACATTAGAGCCGCTGCCACTACATGTGATTTCGGAAATCAACTTTCAGACATTGTCAAGGACAAATTCATAACGGGATTGTCTCCTGGAAAGATCCTGGACCGTCTATGTGAAGAAGATATCACGAAAGGATTCAAGGACTTGTACTCCTTGGCCCTTAAAGCGGAAAATGCAATCTCCGAAGTCCATTTTGTAGCCAGCAGAAGAGGTTACAATTCAAGATTCCCGCCAAGAAACGAAGGCCAGTCCGAGACGCCCTTCCTCGGCAAGTTCGACAAACGTCAGGGAGGAAATACGCATGTCACGCAGTCACAGCCACTACAATTTTAAAGTATAAATATTGCTAGATTGAGGTCAAGAGTTGTGTTGGAAGCTTTGCGGCTACAGTCTTTTTGTTGCTGTGCATTTCGAGTGTGGCAAAGTAATTAATTTAATTTTGAATACATATCAATTAAATTTCAAAAGTCAACACGCGTAGTGCACCGCAAATAGGGTAGTTTAGATCACTTACAGAAGTGAAGGTACAGCCTTTGTATTTCGTTTTGAATTATTGTAATCTTTTTTGGTCAAAAATAAATAAAGTTAATTTGTTTATCCTTGTCTTTTTCAGCCAAGCACTGACAACAACACGTACCCTCAATTTAAAGCTCGTGAAGCAACTGTTCTCAAGAAAAAACCATTTATTCCAAGCCTACCCGATAAACGTGTGGAACGAGAAGAGTTTGACAGAAAAATGAAGTTGCGTGAAGCAGAACTGAAACAGCAAAGGCAACACATCAAGGAGATGCAAGCTGAGAAAGAGCAAAAAGAAAGGGCGAAATGCAGAAAACTGGCGTTGAGTAAGAAAGTGACTGATCCAGTAACTCCGCTTCTGCATCAGAAAAAGTCTGGGAAGGGTGGATAAATAAAATAATTGGAGTTTTCACCTATTTAGATCTTTTAATTTGTTTGTTTTGTATTAATAAAAAATGTATTGTATTTTATATATTTTTTTTGAAATGGCATCGACATTTATATGTTGTAAAAATAAACCACAGAAAAGTTATTTATGTGTGATTTGCAAAAATCTTATGCATAAAAGCTGCAGCGAAAGACGGAACATTACAGTGATAAACAACAATCTAATTTGGTGTTCCGAAAAATGTGCCGAAGATGCTGTTAAATCCGAGGACAGTGCTACTGAAGCTATGCGAGAATACGAAGATACGATTCAAAAGCTAGAAAAGGAAATACAGGAGAAAGACAGGTATATTCAAAGACTTAAAACGTTAAATAGGGATTTGGAACAGGAAATGTTGGAATATGATTACAAAAGCGAAAAAATAATTCTTGAACAGAGTCAGGTGATCGTCGAACTTAAAAACGAAATACAACAATCATTGGAAGAATCTCTGAACATATCCAAAAATATATTAAAAACTACTGTAGATATAGGTACTCAAACAACATTTTTAACCCAAACAAACACGAAAACACATTCCATTGAATGCCAAAAGATAACTGAAAACATCAACTCCAGTAAGCAACCAGAAAAATGTTCCCACATGCAAAGTGAAACTATACAAACAGAGCTCAGCGAAGAGCAAATAGAGGAGGCAAGAATTTTAAACGCCCTCATAAAAATAAATATTGGAAAAAGCACTCAAACACCTATATGGCCTGATCAATGTACAGAAGAAAAATCAGTTAACCACACACCTATGAGATCCGAACCAAAAGTGGATACAGGAAAGCCCCAAATCCTACTGCTGACGAATACAAAATTGAGAGGGGCAAGCACAAAATTTAAAGAATATACAAACAATGGCTTTGACATCAATAGACAATATATCCATAAAGGAACATTTGATGACCTGATCGCACGCTCCCAAAATTACATACATAAAATGAAAACACAAGATGTCCTACTACTGTTTGTGGGACCAGAAAATGCAATTAAAGACAAGGGCATTACGTCAACCGAACTCCACAATTTATTGAAAAATGTAAAACTGGCAAATGTATTTGTTGCTGCATGTCCATTTTCAAAAAATAGACCAATTTTGAATAAATTCATTAAAAAAAACAACCTAGAACTGAAACAGGCAACAAAAAATTCTAACATCACTTATATAGAAACACCAAAAATAGTCAAAGCACAAACAATAACTACAACTATCTGTTGGGAACACCAATGCTTTAACAACCTAATTAAACATGTCTGTGAAAAGCTATGTACCACTGAAGGCAACACAAAGATCCAGGACACTCCAAGAAAAGCTGCATTGAATGAAAATAAAGAGTTTGAGCTACGCCTACAGAAACTACGACAAAATACAAGCTATAAACAGACACCGGTGGAACAAGACAAACGTATCAACGTTATTCAAAACATAAGAGTAAAATCGCCCCGAAAAATAAAGCAAAGCATGCCTGAAATGCAACAAACTCAAAAAACGAGTCCAGTTGCAAGGAGGAATTGTTTTTTTTGGTACCCAAGACATAATGACACAGGATGGCAACCAATGGAATGCTCAACCCAGGCTTGCTATTGCAAAAAGTAGACCGCAGAAGAGCGACCAGATACTGGGTATTTTCCATCAAAATATACAGTGTTTGAAAACTTCGACGCTAGAACTGGAAGCACATTTAAAAACTCTGGAAAATTATCAACAGGTTTTATGCATGTCTGAACATTGGATGAAGCCGGAAGAGGTTAATTTGACGAAGATTCGAGGGTACAACATGATTGCTCACTTTACCAGGATACACAGTATAAGAGGAGGAACCTGTATCTACGTTAAAGAAGAACTAGAAGATTTTGAAGAGCTGAAAATGTTTGAAGACTATAACATTGAGGGCAACTTGGAAATTTGCTCAATTATCAGTAAGATTAGGAAAGTAGTAATTTTTTGCATAGATCGTGTTTGGGGAACTACAATATATTTTATCAGATCTTTGAAATTTTGGTCAGAAAGGCTTCTGAAAGGTTCAAAAACTACAAAATTGTCTGGGCGGGCGATTTTAACATCAATTTCTTAACACAGAATAACTATTTAACAAGAGAAGAAATAAGAAACAGAAACGAAATGCTCGATCTATTTGGAACATATAACTTTCACCAAACAATTTTTGACATAACTAGGCCAAATAAGAACAAAAAATCGTGCATTGACAATATTTTTGTGAATTCACAAAATTTCTGTAATAATTATGTAATAAAAACAGGAATAGGTGATCACCATGCTCAGACAGTATCAATAAATATAAGCAGCATTTGTAAACTTAAAGAGTCTTACTTTACAGGCAGAACATTTTCTATTAATAAACTCACTCAATATCAAGAGACAATTCAAGATTGTACATGGGCGGGGGTATTTCGGGAAAGAGAGGTAGATGGCGCATACAATTCATTCATCACAACAATCACTTACTACCTCAACCTAATTTTTCCAAAAAAAACAAGGAAAAATAAAACAAATAGCAGTTACAACTGGATTACTACAGGCATAAAAACATCCATTAAAAACAAGAGAACAATATATGAACTCTACCTATCAGGACTTGCAAGTAAAAGCTTTTATAAAGAATACTCCAAAATACTCAAGAATGTAATTAAAAAAGCAAAAAAACTCTCGAACAAAATGCAAATTGAAAATTCAGAAAATAAAACTAAAACTACCTGGAATCTCATAAAAAAAATCACAAACGAAAAAAACAAAGATCAATCAATTTTCAACAACTTTCAAGAAAAAGAGACCCCCGAATTTTTAAATAAAGTTAATTCGTTTTTCCTAAGCTCATGTCAAAATTTAACTCACAACTCCAAACCTGAAAACAGTAGCTGCTTATTATTGAATAAAAAAAGCTTTGACTTTAAGCCAATAAACCCTGAACAGGTAGAAAACATCATCAAAGACCTAAAAAACAAAAAATCAGTTGGCACTGATGAAATTCCAGTGAGTCTACTAAAGCAGACTTCAAACATAATTTCAAAACCTCTTGCCTATATAATAAACCTCAGCTTTGAAACGGGTAAATTTCCATCCGCCTTAAAGTTTGCAATTGTCAAGCCTTTGTATAAAAATAAAGGTGAAAAAAATGACCTGAAAAACTATCGCCCAATTTCGCTTTTAAACAACATCAGCAAAATATTTGAAAAAATAATGCATCAACAAATGACAAATTTCTTGGAAAGTGAGCACATCCTTTCAGATCAGCAAAACGGATTTCGAAAGGGTAAATCAACGATCAGGGCAATCTATCAAACAATTAAAAAAATAATTGACACATTGAACAGGAAACAAACAGCCGCAGCGCTATGCCTAGACTTGACCAAAGCTTTTGACAGTGTCCACCATGAAACTATGTTAAAAAAACTGGCTGCATGTGGCATAACGGGCATGGCTCTGCGTCTCATTGAATCCTTTCAAGAAGGCAGATGGCAATGCACAGAGGAGCTAGGAAAAGATGGACAAAAAGTAAGATCAGAATTTGAACTAATCAGCAGGGGCGTCCCTCAGGGAGCTGTTTTGTCTCCTCTGCTCTATATTTTATACACCAATGACATAACAAATATTATACAAAACGACAACATAGTACTATTCGCTGACGACAAAACTGTTCTATATGATGAACAAAATATACAAGCGATAGAAAGAGGCATTATACACGACTTAGATAGATTGACAGAATGGTTCGAATCAAACAACTTAACACTTAATATAAATAAAACACAACTGATTCACTTTAGACCCAAAAACACAGAAAAATTATGTGTAATTTATGGAGGGACGGAGCTAGGGGCTCAAGACAGCGTCATGTTTTTGGGTGTTGTCTTGGACAAAAAATTGTGCTGGGAATCTCACATAGACAAGCTTGCGTCAAAATTAGGTCAATATTGCTATGCACTTAGAATTATTAGAGACACAGTGTGTCTGTCTGCTTCTCTGACTTCCTATCACGCCTTTGTACAATCACGTGTAAGATATGGTGTCATTTTCTGGGGTAACTCTACATACGCCGAGAGAATACTTGTTCTGCAAAAGAGATGTCTTAGAACAATTTTAAAACTAAATCGCAAACAAAGCTGCAAAGCAAATTTTATTCAGTATAAAATTCAGACAGTCTACAATATCTATATTCAGGAGAGTATTGAATTTGTTATAAAAAATCCAGATCTATTTGAAAACCAAAGAATCGAGCACAAATATTACACAAGAAAAAAGGATAATCTAAGAACAGATATACCTCAATTTAGTTATTTACGAAAAAATATAACTTTTAATATTATAAAAATATGGAACTCTTTGCCTATCACACTGAGACAAATGCCTAACAGAAAAATTGCGGGAAAAATTAGGTTGCTTCTGGAAAATCGTGCCTACTATAGTGTTAACGAATTTTTCGAGGATAAAAATAAATCAATTTTCTTGAACTGATCTAGACAGAATGCTCTGACCAATTTTTTGGATATCTTCATTTGTGTTTATGTTATTTTCTCGGTTATTTTATCATTAAATTTTTTTTTTTTTTTTTCCTATGTCTTCGTCATAAAAGTCGCACAATATTTTAGATGCTTATTGTTACAAGCTTGTATGTGCATATGTTAGTTTTAATCTTGCAGTCTAATTATTTTATTTTATTTATTATTATTTTTTTAATTTGTCTGTCTATTTTTTTTATATTGACGTGATCTACACCTGAAAGGGTACAAAATGTATTTTTATATTTTAAAGAGATCAAATAAAGTGAACTGAACTATAGTGTTAGAATCAAAATTATATTTGAATTTAAAATAATAATTATTATAAAATATTTTTCGAAGGAATTAAATTATTGTAATGATAATTCAACCGGACTATTATTTATCTTGGTGAAACATGAAATGATGCAGGTAAATAAAGTAAAGGGTCGAATGTTGCATACGTGTAAAGTCTCTATTCACACGTAATATAAAGGTCATAATTAGGTTTGTTAGCGCACATGCGCAGATTTGAAAGATTGTAGACTACGGCAGAAAAGGCAACAAAAGCCCTCTCTTCTGCTACGGCCACGCTAGGGAAAAGACCTATCATGGTACGGAACTCTTGTACTTAAATCCGGAAATTAAATAAAGCCTTTGAACACGTTCGGTAATCTTTTATTCAAAAGTTAAGTCATTACATTTGGCGACGAGGAAAAGTTGGAAAAACGCGAGTGATTTTGGCTTTAAAAAAAAAAAAAAAAAAAATTAAAATTCTATTTCGGGTACGGCACGGTTAAACGAAGATGGCGACGGGCACCATTCCAAAGTTCTACGTATTCAATTCAAACGTGGACGAATGGGAAATTTACATCGAGAGGCTTCAGCAACATTTTATTGTCAACCAGGTAACTAATGAAAAAATCAAAGTTGCCGTTTTGCTAAGTTCCATCAGCCAAGCCACTTACAAATTACTAAAAAACTTAACATACCCCAACGCTCCGGATGCAAAAAATTTTGAGGAATTATGCAGATTGCTCAAAACCCAGTACTCAGTGCAAAAAAGTACCTGGCGAGATCGCATTAGATTTTACCAGATGACCCAAGGAAATTCAAGCATTGCCGACTGGCACGCCGACATTAGAGCCGCTGCCACTACATGTGATTTCGGAAATCAACTTTCAGACATTGTCAAGGACAAATTCATAACGGGATTGTCTCCTGGAAAGATCCTGGACCGTCTATGTGAAGAAGATATCACGAAAGGATTCAAGGACTTGTACTCCTTGGCCCTTAAAGCGGAAAATGCAATCTCCGAAGTCCATTTTGTAGCCAGCAGAAGAGGTTACAATTCAAGATTCCCGCCAAGAAACGAAGGCCAGTCCGAGACGCCCTTCCTCGGCAAGTTCGACAAACGTCAGGGAAGAAATACGCATGTCACGCAGTCACAGCCACTACAATTTTAAAGTATAAATATTGCTAGATTGAGGTCAAGAGTTGTGTTGGAAGCTTTGCGGCTACAGTCTTTTTGTTGCTGTGCATTTCGAGTGTGGCAAAGTAATTAATTTAATTTTGAATACATATCAATTAAATTTCAAAAGTCAACACGCGTAGTGCACCGCAAATAGGGTAGTTTAGATCACTTACAGAAGTGAAGGTACAGTCTTTGTATTTCGTTTTGAATTATTGTAATCTTTTTTGGTCAAAAATAAATAAAGTTAATTTGTTTATCCTTGTCTTTTTCAGCCAAGCACTGACAACAACACGTACCCTCAATTTAAAGCTCGTGAAGCAACTGTTCTCAAGAAAAAGCCATTTATTCCAAGCCTACCCAATAAACGTGTGGAACGAGAAGAGCTTAACAGAAAAATGAAGTTGCGTGAAGCAGAACTGGAACAGCAAAGGCAACACATCAAGGAGATGCAAGCTGAGAAAGAGCAAAAAGAAAGGGCGAAATGCAGAAAACTGGCGTTGAGTAAGAAAGTGACTGATCCAGTAACTCCGCTTCTGCATCAGAAAAAGTCTGGGAAGGGTGGATAAATAAAATAATTGGAGTTTTCACCTATTTAGATCTTTTAATTTGTTTGTTTTGTATTAATAAAAAATGTATTGTATTTTATAGTGTTAGAATCAAAATTATATTTGAATTTAAAATAATAATTATTATAAAATATTTTTCGAAGGAATTAAATTATTGTGATGATAATTCAACCGGACTATTATTTATCTTGGTGAAACATGAAATGATGCAGGTAAATAAAGTAAAGGGTCGAATGTTGCATATGTGTAAAGTCTCTATTCACACGTAATATAAAGGTCATAATTAGGTTTGTTAGCGCACATGCGCAGATTTGAAAGATTGTAGACTACGGCAGAAAAGGCAACAAAAGCCCTCTCTTCTGCTACGGCCACGCTAGGGAAAAGACCTATGGACCATGGAACGGAACTCTTGTACTTAAATCCGGAAATTAAATAAAGCCTTTGAACACGTTCGGTAATCTTTTATTCAAAAGTTAAGTTATTACATCGAATATACTTCGTCAACCGCTGGCAATCGTGCGAGAAAAGGGACAGGCAGGTACTGGAAAAACGGAGCCAGTCTTCCCGTGAGTGCTAGCACGCTTGCTATAATTGCCGTTGGCTATTTTGTTTACAGTTTACAATAAATAATATAACATCAGAAGTGGGATATCGAATACACGTGGTATGCTAAAATAAATTTACGTGCGGAATGTGGACAGTTAGTTTTTCATTGTGCGTTTCGTAAAAAAAAAGCCTAGGCTATTGTTTTGTTTATGACAGTTTTTCTTGTTTGAATTGTTATTGGTAAAAATACCTGTGTGTTATTAGTTATTAGTGACAATAAAGGTGTGAAAATGTAGCAATTGCTTAGTGAATTGGTAAAGGCTATCAAGTGTTCGAAGACGGCACCAGATCAAGTGGATTTGCCCCTGTTTAATCCTGACACGACGGATGCCAAAAAATGGTTGGCTGAAGTAGGTACAATAAAAACAGAATTTGATTGGACTGATCAACAATTGTTAGTACGGGTAAGCAAATTTTTGAAAAATGAATCTAAAGTTTGGCTTGATATGTGGACCCCGGAGACTCGCGATTGGGCGACGTTTCAAAAAGATTTTATTGAATCATTTCCCCCAAAAAAGATTTTGGGCCGATTACTTTCGGAAGCAGCAGAATTTAGTAGTGATAAGTGTAACTGCTATGAGGCATATGTTTATGAAAAGGTAAACAAATTGAGAAATGTTAGGGCACAGTGGGAGGAGCCAGATCTTGTCGAAATTATTATTTATGGGATAAGAGAACGTGAAGTTCAAACTATAGCTAATAATCAGAATTTTAAAAAAATATCAGAGTTGATAGCTTTCTTGGGTTCCTTAACAAAGCCTTCGTCCTCTGGTATGAAAAGACCTTTTGAAAAAAATTAACTTTGGTCGGGAAATAAACGTTATCGATTTAGTGACAATGATAATCGGTACAAAGTTGATAACTCGGTTGATAACAATCACCAAAA